TGACGTCACTGATGTCGTCACCGGCATCCGCATCGTCATCGTCATCATCACTGATGACGTCATCAGCGACGTCACTGATGACGTCACCGACATTCGCATCGTCATCGTCATCATCACTGGTGAAGTCATCAGTGACGTCACTAATGACGTCATCGGTACCCGCATCGTCATCGTCACTGATGACGTCATCAGTGACGTCAGTGATGACATCATCGGCATTGGGGGTCACGTGACCCCCAAGGTCACGTGACCCCCCCCTGGTTAGTTTAACCCCCCCCCCCCAGTGCCCTTCCCTCCTCCTCCTCAAGAGCTGCGCTCTAATTCGGAGTTACAGGGAGTTGTAAGCGGCTTTCATTTTTCTTCCTCCAGGAAACGTGTCTTAAACTACTACAATATTTATTTAATTCATTCAGGACATTTAAATAAGTTAGAATACGTTTTTGTCAACGAAATAGCTGTTTAGTAAAGAAAGAAAGTCATGTCCAATGTACCGTCTTCCCAATTCATTTTCTGTCCAAGATACTGTCTAACATATCGTCTTCCAGCGCTAAGCCTCGCGCCCGCTTCGAAATTTTCGTTGGCGATAGCGTCGCTGGATTCTCACGTTGCCGCACAAAAACTGCTGCAAAAGCAAGCCGATACCATTAAGATTTCGTGCCGTAACCTCGGGCACGTAAAACACGGTGCAAAAAGGCAGAATAATTGTCACGAGAAACTAGCGTCGCGTTGCTAAAGCCAGCAGCCATGTTGAGCTTTTTTTTTTTTCAAAAGGATTGCGATTGGTCCACGGAATCGTGACGTCATGAAAACGATTGGCTGGCGTTTCTCGGCGTAGGATTACATTTTCCTCCGAGAGGCATTTCCGGTTTTTTCTTAGCTTGCAACCGACTATAGTAGGCTGTGCTATGGTGGGACCATCGGTAAATCAGGTGAAGAGAATAAATTCAAAAGCCTTTATACTATCAGCAGAGTTGCTGGCTGTCGATTACATAATCAAGAAACGACTTTCTCAAGCTGTAATCTACACCGACTCTTTAAGCTCTCTGAAGGCAGTCGCGTCAATGAACCGTGTAAAAAACCCACTGGTTTCTGAGTTAAAGCACAAGATTATCCTGGCTGCTGAGAAAAATATTGACATAGTCTTATGCTGGGTTCCTAGCCATGTTGGCATTCCTGGAAATGAAGCAGCTGATTGTGCAGCTAGTTCAGCTAATGATCGAGAAATTGACACACACCAAATACCCTACAAAGATTACCACAACTCTCTGAAACGTTGCATCAAAGCAAAGTGGCAGCTGCAGTGGAACAGCGAAACCAGCAACGAATGGAACGCAATCAAACCTTTTCTAAGCGACTGGGGGAGTGCCCGACATCGGGACTGCTTTTATGAAGTCATACTCTGTAGGTTACGAATCGGTCATACTCGTCTCACACATGGACACCTCTTGAGCGGGGAGGATGCCCCTGAATGTGTGCACTGTAACCTACCTCTAAGTATTATGCACATACTCATTGAATGCCCTATGTATGACCAATGTCGGTATAAACACTTCTCACTCCTTTATGAAGACCACATTCCACTACACCTCGCTCTATTACTAGGTGACGAACCACTCATTCCATACAGTTGTGTTTTTAATTTCCTCACAGATATCGGCCTTCTACACCGACTGTGATTTTGCTTTCTATCCTAAATTCATTGTCATATTGTTTACACTTATACACATTCATGTTCATGGTTTTATCATATATTTCGCTACTATAGCCCTTTCCTCTTCTTAAACCCGAATTGCAATAGTCTAAGCTTGGCACAATATAGCCTTAGTTGCTGATGTGCAATAAACCCCAAATCAATCAATCAATCACTAAAGTAGAAATATCCGCAAAAAAAACGGCTTTAGTTTAGCGGTTTTTGCTAGAACATTGTGAATTAGGATAAACATCTTGATTCATGATGATTCCACGCAAACCAGCTTGACTGTATTACCGAGTTGTAGTAGATCGTTTTTCTCCTCCGCTACGGTATCCGTGATGAAAACGCCGCAGCTGCGCATGCGCGCCGCCAGCCTTGTCTGCATAGTTGAAGGTCTTGTGGCTGATTACGGAGCGCTATCCGGGTGCCTAGCGGGCTGTGGAAACGGTCTACTACAATCCCCTATTAGGGAGTTTTCGTAGACCGCGTATCCCCCTCCGCTAAGCCTTCCGCAACGAAGCAGCCGCTACTGCGCCGGCGCGCCGATGGCCTTAACTGTAGAGTTTCGGCTAGCGTAGCTGTTTGCGGAGAGCGTTCTGGGACAGCGGAAACGATCTACGAAAACTCCCTAATAGGAAGTTGTAGCAGATCGTTTTTCTCCTCCGCTACGGTATCCCAGAAGAAAACGCCGCAGCTGCGCATACGCGCCCCCAGCCTTGTGTGCATAGTTCAACGTCTTGTGGCGGATTACGGAGCGCTATCCGGGTGCTTAGAGGGCTGCGGAAAGGTGTACTCTCGCCCCAGCCACCTAATAGGCGTATCCGGTATGGGCGACGAAAAAATAATCCAACGTTTCAACCTGCAAATAGTAAAAAAATAAAGAGGAGGCAAAACGAGTAAGTGTGACGGTTACGCTTATATCCTAAATGCCTTTTATTGGCGTGGCAAAGGCAAAACAATGTTTTCGCCCATACTGGAAGTGACGTCAATTCAAGATGGCGGCGCACTTGCAGAAAAGGTCTACTAACTCGGTTACGGAACTGTCCACACACGCTGCTTGCAACAGCAGTACCCCCCTATTTCCCCACGGTTCGCTTCCCGTAGTTCGAGGCACCACTGCTTCCGGGGGACGGGTTCGATCGCAGCAGCGGTGTGTTCCATAGAATACGTGTGTTTGGAAGCAGAGCGTGTAGATGGCGTTTCACCGTACTCTATGAAACACGCAGTTTTGAAATGAGAATCTAGATGGCGCTCCAAACGGCGTGAGGCTAAAGCCCCTCGATGTGTTTGCGCTAACGTGAGGCGGTCTGAAGTGAGTGAGAGGGCTGCATCCCTCCGCGGGATTTCTACAACTGAGTTTATCTGGTAACTTTGGCACAAACTAAAATGCAACGAACGTCATGCGGCTCCCCCATGTATTTTTTTTGTGTGTTTTTTTTTTTTTCATAACACGTGATGTTGAGGTGAGCTAGCACCGCCACAGCATAGCGTAGTCAAGTTTACGCATTATACTTCATGAATTGTTTAGAAACAGCAATTTCAACGTGTGATCTCTCTGCACAGCACATGCGCAGGAACAGAAAAGATAAAATGGCGCGCGTCTTGTATGTTCTCATTTTCAGTGATGGTAATTGATTGGATGGATGTTTAGAAAGTGCGAAGTGATTCTGAGCCAACGGGGGCGTCTGATGTTACCACTGTAAATGAAATATTTATCCAATGCACTACGACTGCTAGCCTCGGATCTTCCCATGTATGGTACAATAAGAATGCACGATATTACGGCGGTACGGTTTTCATCCATATAGATGGAAGGGGTAGGGATCGAACCCATAATCCTTGAGTTCTTCAGTGCGAGCATTCCCTCCACGTGCTGTGACTTGAATTTAATCAAATTCTACGCTCCGTATACCCTGGGAGTAGAGCTAGTAAATGCTAGTATCAAGTCACTTTAGGCGTGACTATGGGAGAAATGCGCAGCTGAAGTTAGAGCAATGCTACGGTGTTCCGCGCTCGCGCGGAATACATGGTGAAGGAAATGCTGTCTCGGCCTGTCAGTCCAATCAAAATACCGGTATGAAGTTTCTTGTAATGCGCTCAATCTCCACTGGCTGCTTTCGGTTGACAAAAACACGTTGATTTAACTATGGCCGAAAAAATTGGGGTTAAAAGCTGACGTTCAGAATCGTCTTCTGCCAGAAGAAAACCGGTTCTGAGTTTCCTTCTCTCCCTTTCGCGCTCTTCCCTCCTCCTCTTTCCCCAGCAGCTGGTCTCTGCTCCCTGCAGAAAGGAGGGGGGGGGGGGGGGGGTCTTCCTCTTTCTCCAATGGAAAGATGCAATTGAGGGGGAGTTATTTGTTCCTTTCTGAATGCTCGTCGGCTTTTGAATATTGTGTTTTTATTTGTTTTTGTTTTTTTTGCGCGCGAAGTAGTATAGGTAATGATGTTGTTACGCTAAAACTTGTCGTCTGAAGTGGCAGGATCTGGGGACCACGTCTGCCAGGTCGTACTTGCGCTGTGGTACACGGGCAGAAAAGACACAACGACAACGGTTCGAGGGTCCATTGTGAGCGAACGTAAAGGGCATTGACTACTCTGTACAGAAGGATCGTGTTAGCTACGCCTGCTCTCATTCGGGTCGTCTGGGCAGGGTCGGATATAGAAAGGCCTCTGGCTACTCAGCATCTTGCCCCCTCCTTCCCCCCCTTTCCCTGGCCCCTGCTACACTATTGCAATATAGAGTTATTCTAGCGAAAGTGAAAAAAACAACAAAAAAAAAATTAGAGCGGTCTAGCACAGAGCCCTGTGTGCGACGGGGTAGCAGGAGTGTTCAACGGGGCGCCACAAACCACAAAACACCGCTGATAAAGCGATATCTCAAACGGATGGCCGTATTTTTGCGAAATAGGGATGCGCTTGAGTGAGAATCGCGACGTCGCGTTTCCTGCAGAATTGTTGAGGAGGAGGGGAAACGGCCTCGAATTCATTCCCTCTTCGCGCCCTCGCGGAGTCAAAGCGAGAAGAGGAGGAAACGAGAATCGCGACGCCACGGGCATGTCTGGCCTTGCTAAAGCGCGCTCTTCTTTCACGAAAATACGACTATCCGTTGGAGATGTCACTTTATGAGCGATGCTTTCGGGTTTGTAGCGCCCCGCCTAGCGCTTCCGCGTTGTTTTCTTAAATCAATACTTCGGTTCAGCATCCCTATAATTCATCGTCGATAGGAATGTTGCTGGAATAAAGAGTGAATGTCTCCCTGTAGATGCCTTCGGCACGAACTAAAGGAAGGATATTTTTCTGTCCAACAGGTTGCGGGAGACACGGTGATCCACGTCTGGAAGCAGCCACTACAGCGGACCGAGCTGTCCAGGGTGACCGGCGCAGGACACCGCGCCCTGCTTTCCTCCTGCTGGTACCTCAGCGACATTTCCGAAGGAAGCGACTGGAAGAAGTACTACGCCTGCGACCCGCAGGACTTTGACGGTACTCGCAGCAAAGCGATGAAAGCGCCTGCCTGTTTGCTCTGCACTGCTTTGGCCGAAACACTTATTGGCCATATAGCACCCGGACACTCGAATTACGCGCGCCGTCTTAGCTGCCGTTATATCGATGGGAGCGATTGGCGATAAGATCAAACTATGGGTGGCGCTTTGTCCCTATTTTTTTCCATAGAGCGCGGTGTTTTTCAACACAGGGCCTGTGGATGATCTGTTTGTGTCCTCGATCGAGGACGGGGTACGGCTTAGAACCGAGGGCTGCATCAAACCTCGGCTGGGACTCGAGTACCATTGCTGCATCACTAATACAACACGGGTCCCCGTGGAGCGCTGCGTCAAAAACACAGATAATTCAGCCTATTGTCCCCGGTTTAGTTCTCAAATTAACCGATACGTGCGTGACAATAGTATCTCAACCGCGATAAACAACGCTGACTGTGGTTGAACGATACTGAATTAAGATAATGCTGCACGTCTTTTTTGATCCGTCAGAACAAAACCGAGCCTGTGTCACGTGATTCATTCTAAGTATTCAAGTAGATGGACCAGAAAGAGACGCTTTATCAATAACTGTTTAATACGAGATATTAGTATTAATCTAGTTTTCCAGCATATACACCAATATAAGAAGCAGGTACACTATAAAAAAAAAGACTCTCATTTGGATTACACTAGTAGGAAATGATATTTTTCTTGAAGAGCTACGCGCATGCTCGTTTTGTCTTTTATATGACGACTAATTCCGAACTCTTTTTTGGGGCGTAGCGAGGTATATTTGCTGGGTTCATCTGGTTTAGGATATAACGTTAAAGGAACTGATTCCAGCCTCAAGAACGTTTCACGCATTTGCCGCTGGGTGCGTTTTCATAATAAATTGGTTCAGAGCCGACACAGAATTCTTCGATAGTCAGTGTCAGCCAGTTCCACTTTAAATGACCACTGAAAGCCCCCACATCGAAGTCTTAGTTTTGCTTCAAATGCCTCAGATGCGCGTGACATAAGCCCCAAATATATCAATTGAGGAGAAACAATTATTTTGGCGTACGAAAAAAATTGTTAAAGATCCGCGCCCTCCTCGGAAATTCGGGCTCGTCCTTGGCTCTTTTTTTTTTTTTTTTGATGACGTCGAATGGGGAGCCATTTTGCTCAGATTAAGAGATGTCGCAAGTTGCATATTTGCATCAATTTTATTATTTATTTGGAAATATTGCCAGACACCTAGACGGAGTCCAAGGCAAGAGTGAGCATAGGGTACAGCATGTACACTGTACAATGTAGACAAACAAAGAATAACTTGACATCGATGAGCTGAGGCAGCATGACAGCGCAAAGTAACGAGCGCATACTAATATTGAAGAAAAACTAAGACTTATAAAATTCAGCAAATATGTTCTACAACTATCGCAAGCGCACTCACCGCTGACTTTGAAAAATAGAAGCCCAGAGCCCGTAAGTCAAGTAAGTCCGTGAGTCACGAGGCAGCGGCCGTCTCGCGTATTCATTTTTTTTACCCTCAATTCGGCGGCACCCGGCGGCTGTGTTGAAAGGCGCAGAGAGATGAATGGCGACGATTTTAATTAATGTCAACAAGGGCCCAAATGAGTTTTTTTGTTGTTCTTCTTTTTTGTGCTGGATAATTTTTTGAACTACACGAGAGCAATTGACGAGCAGTCAGCAGGTTTGGGCTATCCGTCGCGTCGGTAACCAAAGTGTGCGACACGTCATTTTCCTCTTTACAAATAAGAAAAAAAAAGAAGGGAAGCGTTTGAGACTTCCTAAACGGAACACCGCTAAAATAAGAGAAATGAAAAGCGACTCGCGTTTTGGGCACGAAGAAAAGAGAGACGGGAGTGCTTAAAGTGCGCAATTGGCCGGTTGGTGGAGCTCCCGTGATTGTCGTGGCGGATTAGAAGGCAAGAAAAAAAATTTAAACGAGGCTTCCGATTTGCAGTATACAAAGATTCAAGGAATGCAGCATTTCGCCATTAGGGCAGCGCTTCGGATGGGAGTTTGAAATCTGGCTTATGAATATTTATTATTCTTCGAAAATACACCGTTTCCAAGTTTAAAATATGTGAGACAATAGCAATCACTTTGAGTCGTTTGCGGTCGGTGCCCTTCAAGACACGGACTGTAACAGCTGAAGAGACGCAGGGGGTGACGAGCCAAAAGTCTTCTAGTATTTTCTAGCTGCCAATCGTATAGGCACGAATAAAAAATTTAAGCCGTTTACAACTAACGCCATGTAACGCCGAATTGGAGCGCAGCTCTTGAGGAGGAAGAGGGAAGGGAACTGAGGGGAGGGTATACCCCTCCTCCCTCCGCTCTCGAGATCCCGCCTGCTACTTTTTCTCCCCTCCTCCCCTCATCCTCCTCCTCCTCCACCTCGGATTGGGGGGGGGGGGTGTCACGATTTTGGGGGGGGGGGGGGGGGGAGGGGGTCACGTGACCCCCAGAGATATTTTCCCGCTATATTTAGCGGGGAGATTTTCCCACCAGATTTAGCGGGGAAACTTTTCCGCTAGACTTAGCGGGGAACTTTTTCCGCTAGATTCAGCGGGGAAATTTTTCTGCCAGATTTAGTGAAATTTTTTCGCTAGATTTAGTGGGGAAATTTTCCCGCTAGATGTAGCGGGGAAAATTTTCCGCTAGTTTTAGCGGAGAAATTTTTCCGCAAGATTTAACGGGGAAATTTTTCCGCCAGATTTAGCGGGGAAATTTTTCTGCTAGATTTAGCGGGGAAAATTTTCCGCTAGATTTAGCGGCGAAATTTTCCCGCTAGCTTTAGCGGGGAAAATTTTCTACTAGATCAAGCGGGAAATATTTCCGCTAAAATTAGCGGAGAAATTTACCCATAATGCACCGCGGTTACGCCGACGGCGACGCCGACGCTGCTCAAGCCGGAAACGGGCGGCTAAGAGCTACGCTCTAAAACATCAACTCGATTAATAAAACTTAAAAGGAACGTTTTAGCGAATGAAAACGAGACCACGACGTTTTATCGAATGACTAGCGAATGGGTCTAGTTACATAGACAGCTCGGATTAGCTTTCTTTTGTAATGTGCCGCCTTGTCTGCCGCCGCGAAGCGTCGTAAACGAGGGCTCCGAGTATGTTAGCACGCGTCCCCCCCCCCCCCCCACAAACACACACACACACACGCTGCGAGCGTCTGGGTTCGAAACTATTAATTGCCAGTTCTAAAGGTTGGTACTTACTTGAAGTGGGAGCTGGTATTCTACGAGGTACCAGGAGATACTTATTATCGGGCAGCGAAGCAGGGCGCCTGTGGGGGCAGAGTCTAGGAACGCTACTGATTAATATTGTGACAGGCGATCAGTTATGATAACAGACGAAACTTCGACTCGTTTGTTTCGAAGTTCGCGGTGATATCTTATTAGCCCTCGTTATGGGGTATCCACACGAGGGACAAATCCGCCCCTTTCCTCCGCGGAGCGCTTATTACATCAGACATACGTCATCCCTTTTTGACACCTCGCGGCGCCGTTCTCCTCCATGGCGGAGGCGCGGAGGCTTTGTACTGTTAGCACAAAATCTTCGCAGGTGGGCGGCGGAGCCCAGGACGAAGTTTGTCGGGTTGTTGACGTCACGACATCTGTCCGCGGAGTTATCCTTCGTGTGGATACCCCTTTACAGCACACCGAAGATCTTAGGCAGTGAAATTCACATCACGCAGGCTCGTCCGTCGTAGTCAAATGAGCGCAGTGGACGACGAGGTGCAATGAGCTACTAAGCTTCACAAGGAAAATGCGCGTGAGAAAGAGTTTTGAGGCCGTCCAAAACACAGATCCAGCAGACGCACATACGTGCTGTCAGGTTGAAATGAAAGGCCATCACCGGAGCGCGTGCCGCTCCTAAGGCCCCTGTATACACAAACTCAACCCTCCTACGTCACGCCGAGGTGGTGGCGCGTCGGACGCACTTCCGGTCTGGGGCGGTGGGCAGAAGTCGCCGTCCCAGACATGCATTCCTGTGTTCTTTTCTGAGAAACCGGACAAAAACCTGCGTTCTCGTCAAAATGCTGTGACGGGGGCTGTACCAATAGAGTCTGGAAAGGTTTCAAGATCAGTTTTCATGTGTTTCTGCCCGCTCCGTTCGTCCGAGTACGTGGATAGTAGCCGTGAAAAGGGTAAACCAGACGCTGTCGAACTACGATTGCTTGTGCGGGCAACACTTTGTGGTCGCCAGATGTATTTGTTTTGTTCCAACATTAACGAGAGAAAACCGCCAAGTTATCCGGGCCACCCGCGGGTTCAGTGCGTCTTCAAATTCACACGGCCGCCTGATCGTTCCAACTTTCGTCTGCTCTTTCGAACTTGTCTGCTCTTTGTCGTCTGCTCGTTCAAACAAAAGCGGCCGGTAGACCAAACTTTGACCCGGTGATTGCAATAAGAAGTAATTGCAGGCCTCAAACGACTTAAGTCCTCTTCAAGCAAGAAGAGAGGAGAGGGCACTGTCAAGCAGTTTTGTACTGCTTTTTTCCCTCCTCCCTCTCTTCTTGCTTAAAGAGGAATAAAAAAACTTGAAACTTGAAACTTGAAACTTGAAACTTGAAAAAAGTAGGCTCGGTGTAAACAGTATACATACAAAATGTTGATCATTGGTACCAGTGGCCATCACCGACTTGTTACGGTTGGTCTGTTTCCGCTTCCGAATTTCAGTATCGACGTCGATCGTCGCTACCACCTTCTACACTTCTGCAGCACGAGCGACGTCGTGACCGAAAATGTCTAGAAGAATCTCATCGTGGTTTTGGCGTCCATTTTGTGGCGTTCACGCGAATAAACCGCCGCACTTCAAATTATTTACGCAAAGTTTAGCGGTGTAACGAGCCTTGATAGTTTCGCTCAGGCGATTAAAGTGATAAGACATTGCTATGAGGACGTAGAATCGACAATTTCAACGCAAAAAAGAGTATGCAGACTCACACAGACGCCGACAACGTGACATTCCAATGGGTTTTGAA